TTTTACAAAAAGCGCTTTAGTAGGGGTGCTGCTAAAAGACAAATTTGGTGTAGTGTACCTCGCCTTCAACAATCGGTACCATAACGAATTTGGGTCGTCTAAAATCCTCCATCTCCATTTTTAGAGAATAGCCACATTGAACTCTTCCACTCTTTTTATACCTAAGCCTCTTTTGTCCATTGGCAAACAAACGTTCTTCCAACACGTCCAATGAATCCTCCTTCGATGCTCCATTCCTTCCCATAAGAAATTACTTTGAATTTTAGTTATCTCTTTAGCGACCCTTACGAGCATCTTGTAGAAAGACAAAATAAAGATGGAAAGCGAATGCAAAATAGATTTGAGAAGAGTGATTCTACCTCCTAAACTTAGAAGACGACCTTTCCAATTCGATAAACGATTCCTTATTTTAACAATAAGCGAATGCCAATAAGAGATCCTTCTAGGATTATACCCGATGGGGATACCGAGGAAAACAAACTTATTTTCCTCCGTCCTACAAGCAAGAGAAACAACAGCCACCTCCATGAAATCAGAGCTAACATTAATACCAATAAGTTTACTTTTATGGAAGTTGATGCCAAGGCCCGAGGTTAGTCCAAAACCCCTAAAAACGCTTTGATAGACCAAACATGTCTCCACCTTCCTTCACCTACCAATAAAGTATCGTCTGCAAATTGAAGAATATCAATCTTGCCATTCCCATTAATATTGAAACCCGAAAATTCTCCAATTTCCCCCTCTTTTCTAACAAGACCCGATAAACCCTCCGCCGCTAGAACGAAAATAAACGGAGAAAGCAGATCTCTCTGCCTCAACCCCTTTTCCATCACGAATTTCTTTCTTGGGCTACCGTTGACTAAAACCGACATATTACTATTAAAAATCATCGCCTCCATCCACCTCATCTAAAGGTCACCAAAACTCATCTTCCTCATCATTTACCTAAGGAAGCCCCAACTAACTTTATCATAAGCTTTTTAAAAATCAACCTTGAAAAAAAAACAACTCTTCTCCTCATTGTTGGCGTAATCCACAAGCTCATTCGCAATCAAAACTCCATCTAACAAGTGTCTTCCCGACACAAAAGTACTTTGACAAGGGGAAACAATTGAACTAAAGACCAATTTCATTCTAGCTGACAACAATTTAGAGAGAGATTTATACAAACACCCTACAAGACAAATAGGCCTATATTCATCCAAGCCTACCGGATTAGAGTTCTTCGGAACCAAAGAAAAAAACGAAGAGATAATAGCTTTTGATAAAACATCTAATGAATGAAAGCTATTGAAAAAACACACAAAATCATCTTTCAGAAAAGACGAACACTTACGAATAAACAAGAACGAATACCTATCAGGACCTGGGCTTTTCGTACCTTCGCAACCCCAAACTGCCTCCTTAATCTCACTATCCAAAAAAAGAGCTTCGAGAGACAAACTTTCCTCTAAATTGAGGCATTTAAAGGAAATTCCTTAAATAATTGGCCTTTCAAAATCAGTTTCGGAGTACATACTAGAAAAATGAGACAACACATCCTCCTTAACCTTGTCAACCGGATCCATGACACCACTAACCGAATTAAAAGAACCAATATGATTATGTCTTCTCCGTTCCTTCATAATACAATGAAAATACATGATGTTAGAGTCTCCATCGTTAACCCACCTCAATCTAGCTTTTTGGATGAGCATATTCTCCTTAATTCTAAGATTCATCTAAAAATGACTAGTTGCTTCATTCCTTTTCATTATTACCTCCTCGTCTATGAAACTATCATGATCAAGCCCTAACAACTCATCCCTATCATTCAAATCCTTTACCCCCTGCTCCACCTCCATATCAATCTTCCCGAACACCTCCTTATTCCACCTTTTAAGGCTAACTTTAAGTAACCTGAATTTCTCCTTAAGAACATAATCTCCCTTCCCCACAACCACTATCTCTTTCCACTCCTTTTCAACAAAAGTAATAAAAGAATTATTAGAAAACCATTAGTTATTAAACATGAACGGTTTCGGACCCCAATCCGCACAATCCATCACCAACCAAATAGGAAAATGGTCTGAAATTTCTCTCAAACTAATGAACTGACCAACCACTCCCCATCTACTCACAATTAAATCTAAAACAAGAAAACGATCTAATCTACTCATTGACTTGTCATCTCCACTATAACAACTAAACTCGTTTCCTTTGAAAGGAATATCAACCAAATTACTATCATCAATGAACGACCCGAAATCCCTCATTTCAGAATTTTTGTAAGTCAACAATCTACCTTTCATCTCCCTACTATACTTCACAACATTAAAGTCCCCCTACATAGATTTCTTTTGGGCTATATCACAAGAGTAATAAACATTAAAATATAATAATAAAAATTCCTCCATCTCACCTTCACACCCAGAAAACCTCCCCTTTGAAAGAGAATAACACTTCGATTTGGCCAACTTTCCAAAGAATCAGAAGACCTCCAGATTTCCCAATGGAACAAGAAGAAGAATACCCGATATCTTCTTTACTCCAAAAAACTTTTAGCAACTCTATCTTGCAAAGAATTCAACTTAGTTTCTTGAATTAAAAACACATCTGCTTTTCCCTTTTTGATCAAGGAACTAATCCTTCTTCTCTTTAGAATACTGCCACCTCTTCTAATATTCAATGATCCAAGAATCATTTAAACAAGTTGATTTTCGCCTTTCCAACCTTCATTCTATTTTTATCAGCCTTGTCCATCTCCTCAATTCTACTCTTGTAATTCTTCTTAGAATCAACCGCCATAACACCAAGATCCTCAACAGCCTTCCATAATATATCCCCTACATTGCTGTTCAGATTCTCCCACTGCCTAAAATTGTTTCTAAAGATGTCCGACTCCTCAAAATGCTCACCATAAAAACATGTTGCCTTCCCGTTGTCCACCTTATTATTACCATAATTTCTAGTTGAGAACAAAGGAGTTTTCCTCACACAGCCAACAAAAGTTTCAGTAGAGAGAGTCCCTATTTTCGTAGGCTTTCTCTTCATTCGATTGGGCCTTTTAAAAAGAAGCCCACCCACTTCTAAACAATTCTTGTATTTAATTATTTTATGGAAATTCCTTCTCTCCACTTTACTACTGCACAATGGTTTAAAAAGCGTATCCAAACTACAATTTACCTTAGTCCCTTTAGAGTCTGAAGCTAAAGAACAAAAGTTGTTGGCCCTACCTAGACTATCTTCTTGACACGACATCTCCTTGATATCCTCATCAAAAGTACCATCAAAACCATACTTTTCTGACTGCAAGGATTTGACATGATTTCCTTCCTTACTCTTCTCCTTCTCCCCTCCGCCCTTAATGTTCAACTTCAAAACTATTTCCCAGAGCCCGCAAATTCCTCCCCCGCCTGAGAAGAATGAATATCAAAATTATCATTATCATCTTCCCCCTTAAAGTTCGCATCATTGACAGACCAACCTTCTTCGAAATCAGAAGAATCAGAATAAGCTATCTTACGAACGGGAGTTTCACGAGAACGGCGTATGAAATATCATCAATCTCCAGCTTTATCGACTCCTTCAATATGAACCTAGTTGGTACTCTCACCAAAATTCTGCCCACATCCATTTTGATTCCCTTCATTGTATTCTCATCTGAGCACACGAAAGAACCGAAAGAGTTTGCAAGGGAGATGAGAAAATCCCCATTCCAAGCATGGCAAGGAATCCCATATACTCTTACCCACATTACTCTGTCATTGTCAACATCCTCCTCCTTCCGAGCCCTAATACCCGAAAACCATCGTTTCCACCATTGTTCGCCTTTTCTGATCAAATCTAATATAACACCTTCTTCTATTTCTTCCAATAGACAAATTTTCCCTCCTAGAGGAGTAACCTTAACCGAATAATACCTCCAACTCGAAGTTGGTTTGGATATTGTATGACAGACCTAGAATTATGACCTCCCCCACAAATGCTTTCTTCAATCTACCCCAATCCTCCTCTTTAGCAAAATACTTCAAGACACATTCCTCTTCCACAACCTTAACCTTTATACCCACTGCCTCCGCAAACGTTTTTTTTGCCAACAAACCCATAGCCTACCTTCCCTCGTCTGGGCCGATGTTCCTTCAAGACAGTTTTCGACCCAAATCCCCTTTCCCCTTTAACCTCCTGACCTCCAAAACCCCTGCTTCTATCATACATAGGAAGGTTTGCATGGATTTTCCTCCCATTAATCTAACTTTTCCGCCATTAATCTCACGTCCACCACCTCCTTAAACCTCGCGAAACCACCTCTTGCCTAACTTGTTTCTTTTAGGCGGAATCACGACCTCAACAACCTCCCCAATGCAACCAAACAACCCATACATGTCCTCAACTTTGATTCTGTCTGGAATTTCAGAAAAAAAGATGGACAAAAGACTACGAACCTCCTCTCCGTGTATTCCTCTTCCCCTAGGAAAAGAATTCCAACGGACATTCGGACGATACCCTTCCTTCTGACTTCCGACCACTCCAATCCACCGGCCATGACCGCCGGACTTTGTCTCCGCTAAGAAAGAAACCAATTTCTGAAGAAGTTAGAGAGAAGGTGGTGCTTCTTTCTCTAACTTTCTTTTATTGTACAGTTACTCCTGACTTGTCTTGCTGCCATTTAATATTAAATTCAACAAACGTTCAAACATTAATACACGACAAATCAACTCTCCTCCAATACCAATATTCCAACAATTAAATTAAATAACATTGATCGGAGTTACGTTAACTCAAATTACCAAAATAAACAAATATTATATATTAACGTGATAACCAAAATCAAATTAACTTAGTAATTACATGTCACTTTCTTATTGATTGAAAACTAATTTGTCAAAAGAATGTGCTACAAATTGTAATTACAGCCATTAAAGTACAAATTTATCTTCAATTTTGTTATTACCTGCAAATTAAGTAGCCTATAAAATTATCTGTTTCTATGAAGAGACATGCATAACAACATTGTCAATATGGCCAGCATTGTACTAGTTAGTCTTATTTCAATACTCTTGCTTTGCATTACCTTAACACAAGGAAGAAAAACACTTCACACTAACAATGAATTTTCAGCATCCTTAGTTTCTACCAATGATGGTATCTGCAAAACTATGGTAGAAACACAAGGTTACACATGTGAAGAACATAAGGTAAATATATCATAGCATGTATATATGCTACAAACCTAAATCAGAGGTTAAATTAAAAGGACTTATTTTTTGATGACTCAGGTTACAACACAGGATGGTTTCATCCTGAGCTTGCAGAGATTACCGGCGTCGCGGTCTGGCGAAAAGGCAAACAAGCCACCTGTGATAATACAACATGGTCTATTTTCTGTAAGTTTTGTTGTTGCAAATACATAACCTAATTATTACAATATTGTATATGAAAAGTTAACATGTATGTTTGACTCCTATGATTAATTTCAGGATGCTGTAATATGGCTGTTCAATTCTCCAGAGGAATCATTGGGATTTATTTTAGCAGACAGTGTATATGATGTGTGGCTTGTAAATGGTCGCGGCACAAAATATAGCACACATCATTAACTCCTAATGACAAGGTTCTTAATTATACTTATATTCATATTTTCACAACTTAATTAATAGGTTTATTTCTAATTGATTATGATTATGTATTATTAGGCTTATTGGGATTGGTCATGGGATGAATTAGCAAGTTATGATCTTCCAGCTTCAGTTGAATATGTTTACAACTATACTGGTCAAAAAATGCACTATGCTGGTCATTCTCAAGTGAGTAATTAATTAATCCTTATGTTTATAATTAATTAGTGTGTATGTAACAATTAATGATGTAAATATTTCAGGGAACTTTAATGGCTTTTGCTGCTTTATCACAAGGACAACTTCTGAATATGTTGAGATCAGTTGCATTACTTAGTCCAATTGCCCATATGAATCAAATTCCTTCAATTGGAACAAAACTTGCTGCTGACCTATTTATAGCTAATGTAAGTCAGAGAGAGAGAGAGAAAAACTATACTACTATATTTAGCTAAACTCTGTATTAAAATATAAATTTAATATATATATATATATACATTGAATGTATAAATATATTTACATTGAATGTGTATAAAAATTATTCTTCTTAAAATGTTTTTTCTTTTTTTATAATATGACAGGAAATATATTGGTTAGGCATCCGTGAATTCAATCCTAATGTGTAAGAGAATAAAAGATTCTTTCTTTTTTCTCTAAATTTGTTAAATATATTTGAGTGCAAATGAAAAAGGTAAAACATTTTGGAAATGATTTATTAGATGTTTGTCTAATGAGCAGGGATGTTGGAGCGAAGTTTTTGGAAGACATATGCAACACTCTACACCTGAATTGCGCAAACCTAATGTCACTTTTTACCGGTACTTTAAATGTTCCTTCCATTTTCATATGCAAATTTCAATTAATTTTTATTCATCATTTTACCATAACTATTGATTTTATTTTGGTATTCCTTAATTACCTTTAAATTTTACAGGTTCAAATTGTTGCATAAATTCTTCTAGGATAGATGTCTATCTTGATCATGAACCACAATCAACATCAACCAAGAACTTGATCCATTTTTCTCAAAGTAAGTCTATAAACACCAACAATTTAATTTTTATGCATTTCAGATTAAGACTAATAGTTATTTTTTATTTTCGTAGTGATCAGAACAGAAAAAATAGCAAAGTATGATTATGTTGATCAAGCACAAAATATACAACACTATGGTCAACGAGTTCCCCCAACTTATGATTTGACCAAAATCTCAAATGAATTACCACTTTTTCTTGGCTATGGAGGGAAAGATATGCTAGCTGATGTACAAGATGTGAAGGTTTTGCTCAATGACCTCCAAGATCATGATAGTGACAAGCTTGTGGTATTGTTCACTGAAGATTATGCTCATATTGATTTTATTATGGGTGTCACTGCTAAACAAGTCGTTTATGATCCCATGATAGCTTTTTTCAATGATTATTGATTTTTATAAAGAATATTGTTCGATGAAAATAGAGTATGTTTGATTTTTCTTTCTATATTTTATCACAAAATTTGTCTTCTATTATATATATTTAATCACTTCGAGCCTCTACTTTGTTTTATGTGGGTTGAGAATGTTAGATATAATTTTTCAATTTCTATCAATTTAGAAATTAAGAATAGAATTCTAAAAAAGTCTCTTAAATCCATATTTGAATATAATTATGAAAATGAAAACAGAAGTGTACTTGAGTTTACCATTGAAAATCATTGAAAATTTGCGGATATATCATATTTTAATTTGTAGAGTTTTTATGACTCCTTAAATCTCTTCTGACAGAGATGAAGAGAGAATTTTTTCTGATGAGACGTTTTCGCGTTGTCTACAAATGGAGAGACCATAAACCTTATAAATAACCTTAGGGTTATTTCTTAGTTTTCAATATTCTAATTTGACCCCTCATCAAATTAGATATTGATTTATGATATCTACATAATAATATTACCTTTCATGATATTTATACTTTTAGCCACACACTTATTATTAATTAGACCAATATAACTTTAGATAATTACATAATAATCCTAACATATATAATATTATAATTATGACCCAAATATTCTAACTGAAAACTCTCCGAGAGTGGTGGAGTTATAAAAGGGAAAGCCAAATTTTCAAATGGAATTATTTAGAATTTTCTCACATTTTGAGTGCCACTTGATGGAGTGAGTTAAGCTAGATTTTAAGACATCCTCAACATTTTCTTTAATAGGAAACAATACTATTTTTTCTTAAGCAAAATACTAATGTGCAAAGTAAAACTAATATAACATGTGCCCAATGTAAAAGGTTAATTCACTACTAATCTATTTATTGTACCAAAAACATGATTTCACACTTTGTAACAATTTATGTCAACAGTTTTATTTTTTTATTTTTCAAGAATGTCGTTAGTCAAATTGGAAAGGTAAGAGCAATAATCCTCTGATATAGATGTCTGGTTCTCCTTTTGAACACAAGGTTCTGGTCAGGCCAAGAAGACTGAAGTTAAATACTTGAGGTCGGGGTAAAATTGTCTGGAGCACTTGACACCCTTCGAGTATCTCCAAAAATTTCAATATTAGGTCCATGAACTGAGACGGCCTGAGGTTATGGTAAACCCGTCAAGAAAGGTTGCCCAATTGCTTCGTCACCTGAGCTTCCCTCTTCATTTGCTGAAATACTTTCTCACACTTCATTGATTCTACATATGGGAATTGACAAATTTTCAAGAAATAATGTGGACAAAGACGATAAACATGGAAAGATAGAAATATTTGAAGCTTAACGGAAATTACATTTATCTCCTCCTTTCTGTTAGCGTTCATCAACAAGTGAGTTTTGATGAGTCGCTTCGAGCGTTTCCTCAAGGCTCCATCTTGCAAAATGTCGCCCCAACGTAACACAACTCTTTAATGAAAATGATTAATCATTTGTTCAGGTAAAACTCCTCATATGATAAATCATCCTCTTTATAGATATATGACTTGTTCCTCGTTAAAAAGTGACATGGAGCCAGTGTGATGAGTGGATGGCTGTGAAGCCGATGGAGGCGGGGTGACAGTGGGTTCAAATTTGGTGGGGATTCGATTCGTTAGAGCTCGGGTATAGTTTTCTTGAATCACATGTATTGGAATTTGTAGTTTTAGTTCGTGGATCAATTTGTTTATAGGTTATGTTTTGAATTTGTTATGGATTTATTGAGTTTCAGCAATTATAAATATGTATCTCTTGCATGATTGTCATCACAACCTTCAAAACTTTAGAGCTGAAGACAAAGAGGAGAGTTTGAGAATCCTATAGGCAATGGTAAATTCCAAAAAAAAGTGTTCTTGAAATTAGGGAAGTCTTTGGAGATATCTAAGGAAATTGGGAAACACTTCTAAATACATTGGACTTTGTGATTCATATATAGATAATTATAGAGATTGAGAAACACTTTGGTATAAAATATGATTAGTTCTTGAAAAATTGGGTGACTATTTTTTGTAACTCATTTGTAATCTTTTGTAACAACTCTCAGAAGTATAGTAAATTGGAGAGTTACTCTCTCCTTAGAGTATATCATTTCATAAAATTGAGTAAACAAGTTGTTGTGATTATCATATGTATTTTATCTTCTTCTATCAATTTAAATTGATGTCTTATTGCATAGAGAACTATTTTTTGCTTAATGTCAATTATTTTGGACTTAATACCATTTTTCATCCCTTATCTTTAAATCGGGATGGATTTAGCTACCTTTAGCCCGCAAAAGTTACGATACCTTTATCTCTTTCTCTCACATGTAATTCTTTCTCTCATCTTATTCTTCCTTTTTTCTTTATTTATATCTTCCATAAAATACTAAAAATTTGTCTAAAGGCAGCTAAAGGAACCATAGCTAAATGAAGTGGTGAAAAACACAAGAAGGGGGGGTTGAATTGTAAAACTGAAATCTAAAGCAATGAACACGATATTTTTATCCTGGTTCGTTTGATCTCAAACTACTCCAGTCCACCCGTCAAGGTGATTTCGCCTCTCTCCAACGAGGTCTTAATTCACTATATTCAACTGAATATTACAGACTGCTTTAACAACTGCTAAAGCCTTCTTGATTCAAACCACAACCCGGTTTGTCAAGGCAACACTTTCTTACAAAGAGATAAAACAATGTGTGTGGATGTTTTCTACAAAACTTTATCACAACTGTGATGTATACACAAAATGAAGCTTAGAAACTAGATTGCTAAACAATAATGGAATATCAGAGTTTGTGGTTTAGCAAAACTGGTAGAACGAAGATGATGGTTCAGCTTTGTGCGTATAGAGATTTGGAGAGCATTAACCATTTCAATCTTCAAAGCCTTGTTTATATAGCACTTGAGATGATGAACGTTGGATGCAATATTCTTGATTCAATGCTAATAACAAGCTTTCCTTATTGAGCAGATCTTGTCTGGAATGAGGCCGTTGGAATTAATTAGCTTTCAATGCACAGTACCGTTGCTTACTTAACGCAAGTTCTGGCTTAGCTCATTCTGATTCTGCTTCGCTGTTGATGAACTATTGTGTTTCTGTATCAGAGTGTTTGAGCGCAGTCTTGTTCATCAAGCTTCAGCATGTACGTGAGTTGATCATCTGATCTTGACGTTCTGATGTAGCAACTTCTGATGCTGGTGTATGAAATCAAATTCTGATGCTGAATAAACGTGATCTTGCTTATTTCAATCAGAGTATCTGCAAGTCAGAACATAATAATTTTAGGCAGCAGATAGTTCATTCATGAAACTTATAAATACTATATCTTTTCACTTTGTTATCATCAAAACTTAAATATAGGGTAGTAGATTCAAACATTGTTCTAACAATCTCCCCCTTTTTGATGATGACAAAAACTAGATATTTTAAATGAAAAATAACGTGAAAAGGTATCTGGAAAATGTATCAGAGTAAGAAGTACGGAGAAGTCAGAGTTAAGAGATACTCCCCCTGAGTTGATTACTTCCCTTTGATTATACGTGTTCTTCAGGATCAGATCTTTTTCTTTCTTTGAACATCAGATTATCAGAGTCTTTGACTTATCAGAGAGCAGAGCTTCAGAGCTTTTCTTGTCAGAGCTTTGCTTTGGATCAGAGTATTAGGACGATCAGAACTTCATATTGATCAGAGCAACATTGATCAGAGTTTCTAGTCTTCAGAGTGTCCAGGAGCTTCCTTGTGCCTGTAGACTTTAAACAAAACAGAAAAAACATTTCAAGTAATAAAGTTAGAATGTTTGAGAATTTCTGTCTAGTTAGCCGTTATTGATTTAAATATCATTCTTGTTCTCCCCCTTTTTGTCAGCAATCAAAAAGTGTTGGTGATGTGCTAAAACAATTAAGATCAGAAAAACTGATTATATTAAGATAGTTCAGAATCAGAGTAAGAAAATATTACAAAACATAATCAAAACAGTACATCAAAAAATCAAGAAAATATGGAAAAGGTCATGCATGAAAAAAGATTTAAGGTTGAGGAGGCAAGCGTGTGAACAGGCTCTCCAGCATCGCTTGAATCTTTTCAGAAGTTTCATTTTGCTTATGAACCATGCTGACAACAGTGTCAATCTTGCTGTCCTGCACATCCATTCTTGCTTTCATCTTCTGATAATTTTCTTCCATCCGCTGCTGTAGACGCAAGTCATTCAGCCTTAGTTCTTCCAGAGTCTGCCTGTCCAAGGCAGCTTGAGAAGCATCAGAAGCAGGAGGCTTCTCAGAACTTTCAGCGACATCTTCTGCTTGATTTTCTTCAGCCTGAATGGTCTTGTCTTCTTCTGATGGTTGCACCTTTGCAGCTTGCTGTTTCTCAGACCAAGGTTCACTGTCCAGAGGGAGCACAACTTCCTGAGGCAGCTGACTTTCAACTTCCTTCAGCAGCTTGCTGAAGTTCTGTTGTGCCTGCTCATAGTTGATATCCTGCAACTTGAGGGCTTCAGCACGTACCCAAGATCTGAACTGTGACCAGAGCTGATCAGAAGCAGCTGGGTCAATCATCCCAGGACAAACTTGCTTCAAAGAAGCAATCCATTGCAGCACACCTGTTTCAAAATTCAAAATACCAGAGCCAACATCTGGTTGCTTTGGTTTTGGGATGGCTATTTTGTGTTTTAGATCAGCAAGACGGTCAAGACTGGTTAAGTCAATGAAAGTCCTGTTGGGGTTTTCAGAGGTTTGCTGAGATGCTGTTTGTTTTGGAGGAGGGGTATCAGAGTCAGATATTTCGATTGGAGTGGGTAGTGTTTTGGGAGTTTTTGGAGGTGTCGATTCTGGTGAGGATGGTAACTGGGGCATGAAAACAGTGGTTCCACATGGCAACTGAATTGCCAACGGTGATGGTTGAGGTGAGTGAGGGTCAGATTGTTGAGGAGAAGGAGTTTCAGAGTGGTGAAACTCTGTTTGTGGTGAAGGTGGATTTATTTCTGGTTGGGTAGAGGGAGGTGG